CGCCGGCCCGCTGCCCGTTACCCCGCGGGTGCGGCCCCGGCGCCCCCCTGCAGAGGGCATAAAGAGCGCCCGTGCCCGCGGACAGGGGCGGGCGGGCAGTCCGCGTCGCACTCCACCGCGCCTGGCTTTCCGGGAGGCGCCTGGGGATCTCTGTAAGCCTGCTGCACACAGAAGAGCCTACCCGAGCCGGGCATGGCCTCCCGCGACCCGCGACCCGGGCACCTGCGGGGTGTGCCGCGGCCGAGGTGTCCAGAGGGCACAGGGCTTCATAGGGACTGCCGTGCCGCGCCGCCCCTCCCCCGTGCCCGCCACTCACGCCATCCTCTGCTCGCCATTGGTCTTACACGAGTGCGTCCGCCCACCCCTCCACTGTAGACCAATCACGTTCTGGACTGACTCCCTCGGGCACCGCCCCTCACGAGCCACGGCAGAGACGCGTGCGGATTGGCTGGGATGGAGGGGAGGGGCAGGGCGAGGCGAAAGCCAATTGGCTGTTCGTCCTCCCGGACCATGCGTACCGACGCAGCCAAATAGTGACCGTGCCGGGACCCAGCGGGCTCTGAGCCGCAGGAGTGCCAGCCTCACCTGCCGGGGGGCCGCCCGGCGCGAACTGGTGCTTCCGGTGAGTCCGGCCCGCCGCCCGCCGCGGAGGACTGACCGGCCCGCCTGCAGGGGGGACTGAGGCTGTGCGCGGCGACCCGGAGACACCCCGCGGCGGGGACGACGCCCCCCACCCCGGCCCCTCGAGTCGCCGGCTGTGCGTCTGGCACGCGTTTGACGCCCATTTCTCCGAAGGGAAACTGAGGCTCAGCCGGAGGAACTTGCCGGAGGTCCCCAGCCAGCAAGCCGGGCCGAGGACTGGGTGCCCCGGGCCTCCTGGGGCAGTAAACAGCCCTTTGGCCTTGGAGGCGTCCTTCCTGCGCCCCACTCCGCCTCTAGCCCCCGGGTCACCGCGGCCTGGACCTCTGTCACCCCGCACTGGTTTGGCTGGGCCCTGACTTGTGTAAATCTTGCTTCTTGCTTTTCGTTTTCAGCACGGGGGATTGAGCCCAGCGCCCTCCCACCTGAGCTACATCCCAGCCCTTTTTAGTTTTTATTTTGAAACAGGTCTCGCTAGTAAGTCCCTGAATTACCCAGGCTGGGCTCGAACTTGCAACCCTCCTGCCTCAGCTTCCCAGAGTGCTGGGATAACAGGCGTGCACCAGCACAGCTGGCTCCCAAGACCCCTCTTTCCTGCCACAAATGGGAGCATTCTGTACGCACTACTCTGTCCCGGCCCTGCTTGTGAGCACTGGTCCTTACTGCTGAGGGGCGCGCTTGTCACTGTTCCTGCCGCAAAGACCCGTGGTGTGGCTCACCAGGATGTAGGTGGCCCGTGCCCTGCCAGTGGACCCTGGATTTCTCTGTCCCTGTGCCCACCCCGTAGGAGCTCTGACGGGCAGCCCTGAGCCGCTGCCAGGGCGATGCTTCCGAGGGGTTGTATCTCACTGCGGATGGCCGGCGTCCCCCGGGCTTGTTGCTGCCACCCGCCTGCTAGCCCAAAACAGGGCTCCCACCCAGCAAGTGCGCTGCAGAAAACCGAGATAAAATTCAAGCTATGTAAATTCACCACTGCGCTGGGGCTGCAGCTCTGAGGCCCTAGGTTCGTCCCCTGCACAGAAAAAAATAAAAGGGGAGAAAAATGTTCAGATGTAAATCACCTGTTGGCTTTGAAAGCTGAGGTGGTTACACATAGAATGCGTTTTCTATGGCAGCTGTACTGAGTTTTTTTAAATGTTCTATTCTCTTTTTTTGTTTTGTTTTTTTCCTGGGGGTGGGGTGTGGACCAGGAATCGAACTCAGGACCTTGTGCTTGCCAGGCATGTGCTTATACCACTGAGCTATGTCCCCGGCCCTGTACTGAGTTTTAATAATAATAAACACTTGTGTACTCACCGCCCAGTTTAGAAAAACAAACCCTGCAGTTGATCGCTCCTGGCATGCAGGGAGTGTGAGCCCTGCAGACCAAGCTGCAAACGCGGCCTGGGGTGATCAACAGAAGCCCAGTGCCACAGCCCCTGTGGTGCAGCTGCAGGACCCCCGACGCAGACCCCTAGGGAGTCAGGGACACCCAGGGTCGGCCGGAGCTGTGGCCAATCACAGCCCTGCTGGACCTCAGCTTCCTCCTTTGTAGAAGGCCGTCTGAGCAGGTGGCTTCACCAGCCCCAACCCTTGTTTGTTTGTTTGTTTAGGTTTTTTTCTTTTAATTGTCATAAAATATATAGAACAAAACTAACCCTCTTGGACGGGTGTGGTGGTACACTATTGTAATCCCAGCACTCTGGGGGGCTGAGACAGGAGGATCTCAAAGTCAAGCTCAGCTTGAGCAAATTAGTGAGACCCTGTCTCAAAATAAAAGAGTAAGGACTAGGGCTATTGATCACTGTGAAGGGGCTGAGTTTGATTTCTAGTAATGCCAGAGGTTTTTTAAAAATGACTGAAAATTTTTAAACAAATTTTTTTTTTTTTTTTTTGGTTCCAGGAATCAAACTCAGGACTTTGCGCTTGCCAGGCAGGAACTTGTGTCGCTGAGCTATCTCCCCAGCCTTAAACAATTTTTTTAATTTAAAAATCTTTTTTAAAAAGCTGATGCTAAAAAAAAAAAGAAAAGAAAGGCTGATGCTCCGTGCATATAGGGGTTGCTGGCAATGGAATCTGTCCTAATACACAACAGGCTGTACTCCAGCCCAAAGACCGGCTTGTGACCATTTATTTATTTATTTATTTATTTATTTATTTATTTATCTGTCTTTTTGAGGCAGGGTCTCGCTATGCAGTTCCGGCTGGCCTTGAGCTCACTTTGTAGCCCAGGCTGGTCTCGAACTCACAATGGTCCTCCTGCCTCAGCCTCCTGAGTGCTGGGATTACAGGCGTGCGCCACCATGCCCGGCCCTTGTGACCATGTAAAACGCACGGCTAAGTGGCATCCAGTACGTTCATGGTGCTGTACAACCCTCACTACTGCCCAGCTCCAACACATTTTCGTCACCCCGAGGGGCAATTCTGTATCCCTTAAGTCACCTCAAATTCCTCCCGGCCCAGTCCGTAGCCCTCGCCGCCCTGCCTTCCACCTGGGTGAGTGGCCCGTCCTGGGAGTTTCCCAGGCACTGCTGCCCCGTGTGGTCAGTGAGCTGCCTCTTCCTCAAGACAGCCTGGCCACCCCACAGCCCACTTAGGGTCAGGGAGACCCTGAGCTGGGACACTCCCTGACACTGTGCATCTCCAGGAGGGACGAGGCTGGTGGAGGGAGGTGACCCTGGGCCTGGGGTGGACGTAGAGGCGCCCAAGGACGTGGCTGCCAGCTGCAGAGGCAGGAGGGAGCAGGGGGCATGACACAGGCCGACACACCTGGACGCCCCCCACCCCACCCCCTGCCCTTCTGTCACCCCAGGAATGGCAGCAGCCAGGCCAGGCCTGGGCCGCGTCCTCCCGGGGTCGTCCATCCTGTTCCTCTGCGACATGCAGGAGAAGTTCCGCCACCGCGTCGTGTACTTCCCGGAGATCGTCGCCGTGGCTGCGAGGATGCTCAAGGTAGGGACGGGCCTCCTCCTTCAGACCGGGCTCCGGGCCTGGCCTCCTCCCTCAGTGCGGGCCTTTGTCCTTCTCCCCGTCCAGGCGGCCCGGCTGCTGGAGGTCCCGGCCGTGCTGACGGAGCAATACCCGCAAGGCCTGGGCCCCACAGTGCCAGAACTGGGTGCCACGGGCCTCCAGGCCCTGAGCAAGACCTGCTTCAGCATGGTACCCGCCTTAAGGCAGGAGCTGGACCGCCGGCCCCAGCTGCAGTCCGTGCTGCTCTGCGGCATCGAGGCGCAGGCCTGCATCCTGGTGAGGTCCTCTTGCCCCCTGTGCTGCCCCAGCCTCCCCGGGACTCCTCCTGGCTTGGGCACTCCCCCTGACCCGGGCCCGCCCTTCTCTGAGTGTCCCTTACTCCCAGCCCTGCAGTCTGACCCCCAACTGGTATCCCTCCCCTCACCCCCGTCTCTCACCCCCTCCCCACCGCAGAACACAGCGCTTGACCTGCTGGACCGGGGGCTGCAGGTCCATGTGGTGGTGGACGCCTGCTCCTCTCGAAGGTGAGGGTCCCCCGGGCTGAGGGTGTGGGGCCGGGGTGTTGGTGTCCTGCCACGGTGGCATGGACACCTCACTCCCTCATCTGTGCAGCCAGGTGGACCGGCTGGTGGCGCTGGCCCGCATGCGGCAGAGTGGCACCTTCCTCTCCACCAGCGAGGGGCTCATTCTGCAGCTCGTGGGCGACGCTGCCCACCCCCGGTTCAAGGAGGTGAGGGCCGTGTCCCCGTGCTGGGTGCCGGGAGCTGAGTCCTGGGGGCGCTCCTGCCACCACCATAAATGAAGGAGAAGCGATGTAGGGTGACTCAGACCACAGGGAAAGATCATGCAGGGTGGACTGGGGTGTCGGGGTGTGGGGGCAGCAGCAGAGAGCTGAAGGTGGGAGCCCCTGGTCCCCCCAGCCGTCCCCTGGGCCTTTACACTGTCCGGCCTGGTGTTGCCTCGATGGTCTCTTGGCCTGAACCACCACCTCTAGAGTGGCCTTCCTGGTTCCAGAAACAGCCCAGGCCTGGGCCCCTGCTGCAGACCCTTGTCCTGAGGACTAGGCTCAGTGTTCCTGCTCTTCCCCTCCCTCCCTCTGTTCTGCTGGGCATTTATTGGGCACCTAGAATGTGCCAGTCGCATGGTCTACCCAGGGCAGCTGCGCCAGGCCTCCTGGAGTTGGCCTCACCATGTGGACATAAAAGGCCAGTGCACAGGCAGGTCAGGGCGCACTGACCTGGAGCTGGGGAGGGGACGTGCGGGGTGACAGCAGGAATGTGCATGACCTCGAAGGGGGGGGCAACCTTTGGTCACAAGTTCCTGGAGGAGGGAGCAGCTGGAGGGGCAGCCGAGCGGCTTCACTGTAGGAGCTGCACGGCTGGCGGCCCATGGACGGCATGGAGGAGCCAAAGCAGCAGGAGCCAGTGCCAAGACTTGGCAGAGATCAGGGTGTTTAGCAATGGGCAGCCGCTGGGGTTTGGCACAGGGACACTGGTTGTGGTCAGATCACCGATTACAAAGAGCCACACCGGTAATCTCAGCTACCTGGGAGGACGAGGCAGGGGGGTCCCACGTGGGTGGTGTGGACGGGCGGAGGGCCCCAGCTGGGAGGCTGCCTGAGGCACCCTGCAAGCTGTGCTGGGACTCAACCCCGGTCGGCGGTGGGTCTGGCCCTGGAGGTGAATCACTGAGGCTCCTGGGTGGATGGGGGTGGGCTGGCTGCTCCTGCTCAGCTGACGGAGTTGTTAAATGGCCTGGGGTAAGGACCCAAGCCTGAGCGGGAACAGGGAGGCGAGGGCCCTAGAGCGACGGACCGGAAGGTGTGGATGGGCCGCCCGGGACACAACCAGCCGGCAGGTGAGATCGCACGTGTTAGGAAGAGAGCCGGCCAGGTGTGAGGACAGTGAGGCCCCAGGAAGTCTCGGAGCGAGGCCGGCGGCACAGTTAGGAGCCGAGATGGAGGGGTGTCCTCGCTCTGTCTATGGGATGGGGACCCTTGACTCTTCTGACCGCCCCCCCAACTCTCCCTGCAGATCCAGAACATCATTAAGGAGCCCGTCCCGGACAGCGGGCTTCTGGGCCTCTTCCAAAGCCAGAACCCCCTCTTCTGATGAACTCAGGACCCTCACTTGAGGGGAGCCCACCCTGCCGTCACCATAACCTCAGTGGAAGCACCCCCCCATCCCTGGATCCCAAGAGTGGTGCAGTCCACCTGGAGTACCGCCCCCTGGGGGAGGGAGGCGTGGTTGTCTTCTCATTGGGTAGCCGTTCCAGGAAATGCAAATGAGGCTCCTGGGAGTTGGGTGGGAATTGGCGGAGAGCGAGGTGGAGGCGGGGCTCGGCCCCGGGCCACTTCACGCGGCGGGGAGGGGAGGGGGAAGTGTCTCCGACTGTGGGACCCGCACTCGCGGAATAAACATTTATGTGGCTCTGGACTGAACCATTATTGGGTTTGGGGGTGTCCCGGGGGCCGCGGGCGGGAGAAAAAGGGGTCCCCGGCAGGTGGGGAGGGGGAGGTCCTCCCGGCTCCGAGCCCTGCGCGGTGCAGGCAGGCGAGGGCTGCTGCGGCCGCATTTGCACGCGCGATCTCGGCGGCCGGGGACCCCAAGCTGCCGACA